GAACAATAGTACGGTCCTGCTGGTTTTCCATTGGGACGGAACCTTGCATTCAGACAGGTAGCGAGTGAAGAGCCGAGCCAGTGTATTGATGAGTACTGACGGCAGGTTCTTCAGGTGTTCAGGTCTGACCTTGTCTGGGCCGGGTGCTGTTTGTTTCTTTACCGACGAAATGGCGTGTCGGTAAACCCCGGCACCAAGGTTATTATTATTTTTTATTTTAATAACTGTTCTTCCTGTATTAACATATGCCTCAGAGACCTGGGCCCTACACAAACAGGATGAGAATGCTATTCAGGTCTCTCAAAGAAGAATTGAAAGAGCTATGCTTGGAGTATCACGCTTCACTCAAATGAGAGAAAGAATCTGGAGTTCCGACCTCCATCGACGATCAAGAATCAGGGATGCTGTCTTGTTTGCTAAGGCATCAAAAATCAGATGGGCTGGACATGTAATGAGATTTAGAGACGACCGCTGGACTAGAGCCATTACCGACTGTATTCTCCAGGAGGACGTCAAAAGATTGAGTGACAGCCCACCTATGAGATGGTCAGATTTCTTTGTCAAGACACTGAATGATCAGTTTGAGGCGCTTCATGTTCCTAGAACGAGTAGATGCCATTGGACTACTCTAAAACGCAACAGGGATGGATGGAGACATTACTGGTGCCCGCTCGAGCAAATCGATGAGCAACAGGATATCAAGTGATCAAGTGATCAATAATAAAACCATACTCTGCAATGCTCAGGGTTACTGCTGGCTGTGTACTCAGAAATCACAATGGGTGGTGCTCAGGAGACCCTATGGGATTCCAGGAATCGAATTCAGGTCAGGCTCCTGCAAAGAAAAACAAACGCCCTACCTGCTGTACTTCATTCTGGTCCTAACACCAAAACAAAAAGAACAGTACCATTTACATAATGTATGAAAAAATACTTCAGGAGACATCTGGCAGTGGCACCAGTGTGAAGACAAGGGCCCTGGGGCAGAACGCCATGCCTCTCTTCAATGTACAAAAAATATTGGGTATGAACATAGACCACTGGGTGACAATCCAGAGCGCTGCCATGCTTTTGGAAAAGAATGGATAAGAAGGAACGCATGGGATTAGTGCCGCTCGAGCAGAGAAGGAGTGTAAGAGAGAATACGATGATTTCTCTAAGGTCTGCTTCGGCAGGAAATGATCCGTCACCTGCATGCCATCAGGAAGCAGTGGGATAAACTAATCAAGGAAGGAGATTACAGTCTCTGCCTCACTACTCTGGCCAAGGGGAGCCCCGGCCCCAAGTGGAGGCTGCGGGGGACCCTGCTCTTCTCCCCACTGCAGAGCTGAGCCACTAAGAAACTTCTTTGTGAAAGTGTCTGAAAATTAAAAATCGCTCCATCATAAAACAAAAACAAAACTCAAAAACACTTCAGGACAGGAAAGATATCTCAATGGGCTGAGTGGGTGCTTTGAAAACAGGAGGCGTATGCAGAGCACAGAGCCAGGAGGAGCCCCTGTGCACCCCTCATGCCTGTCCCTAAAATCTAAACCAAACAAAATAAACAAACAAAAAAACACTTCAGTCCAAGTTTAACAACAAATGTCCAGGATTTCTAAGCTGCAAACTACACTGCAGCTATTTATTTATTTTAAAAAATTATCAGTGAATCACCGTGAGGAACAGTTACAGACTTACAAACTTTCATGCTTGTGTTTCAGTCATACAATGATGGAGTACCCATCCCTCCACCAGTGCCCATTTTCCACCACCAATGGTCCCAGTATCCCTCCTCCCACCCCCACCCCATCCACTCCACCCTACCCCGCCTGTGTGGCAGGGCATTCCCTTTTGCTCTCTCTTTCCTTTTGGGTATTGTGGTTTGCAATAGAGGTATTAAGTGGCCATCATGTTCAATCTGTAGTCTACTTTCAGCACGCATCTCCCATCCTGAGCGGGCCCTCCTAGCACCCTTTGTTTGGTGGTCCCTTCTCTATCTGAGCTGGCCCAGCATAGGAGGCCAGCTTCTAAGATACAGCAGCTATTTAAAGAGAAAAACATTTTAAAAGGTTGGGGGAATCTATAACAACAGAGACAAACTGTGTGTGTGACTTAGATGCCTCAACAAAGAAAAGATGAAGTATCCCGCGGTTTGATACATTGGTTTAATATGATTCTATGCAGAGGATTTTTTTAATACCCAGTCAATATCATTCTATAATGTAGAAAGACAAATTGGAGGTAGGTTAGTCCCAGTTTTTTGGAAAAGAAGAAATTAAGTGGGGAAAGTCTACTCAATTTCCAGGGCAATCAAGATTGTGTCAGAACACCAACAGGCAGACACCTGAATCACTGGAGCAGAAAAATGCCCGTGACCCTCACAAACATTTCTAGTTCATTTTGGCCAAGATGGAAAAACAATTCGGTGGTAGAAAAATGATCTTTTCAGCCAAAAGCCCATCAGCAGAATATGAACTTCCACCTAAGGCCCATGCTGGGTATAAAAATGAACTCAAATGAACTACAGGCATCGCCATTTAGTGAAACCGAAAACTGCAGGTATTTTAGAAGAAAATGGGAGAAATTTTCCAAGAACTAGAGCTAGGTAGAGTTCCTAGACTAGACATCAAAAGTGCAAGTCGTAGGGGCCAGAGAGATAGTATGCCAGAGAGGGCGCTTGTTCTTTCATGCAGCCAATTCAGGTTCAATCCCCACTCCCTTTCATATAGTCCAGGGAGCCTGACCATAGAGCCAAGAGTAATCCTTCAGCATAGCCAGGTGGGCCCCTTCCCTTCCCCCCCCCCAAAGTGCAACCCATTAAAGTAAGCATTGCTAAGCTGGGCTTTGCAAAAATGTAGACTAGCTCCAGTGTGGTAGAGGGAGAGCCCGACCTCCATCTCTTTGACATAAACAGTTTTACGGATGAGAGCACAAGCACACAGAGGAGCTTTCTAGGCACCGTCCAATGCCAGTGTGTGCCTGAAACACCTTCACAGACACCCAGAATCAGGGCTAACCAGCTCTCTATGCCTTCTGGGGCCCAGACCAGTCAACGCATAAAATTAACCATCAGACTAACAAAGTCAGGATGACAGGATAAGGAACCAGTCAAGGGACAGACTAACCACCCCAAACAGACCAGCCCAAGAGGAGCTGGGAAGCCCAGCGTTGTAGGTAAAACACCTACTATTATTTATTGATTGTTAATCATTTAATTACTAAGATGGGAAAAATAAAGTTGTTTTTATAATTCATGTAAAAAAATCAGGTACCCAAGGGTTGACTTATAAGCATATAAAGAAAATATGCACGAGTATCTGATAGCCTTGGGGGGGATTTATTTCAGTTAGCAGTTGATGAGTTGGAAGACAATATGGCATTCCTCAATAAAACTAGAAATTGAGCTCTCCTTTGACCCAGCAATACCACTTCTGGGAATATACCCTGGGAGCCCAAAATCACAGCAGAAATGATACCTGCACTTGTATGTTCATTGCAGCACTATTTACAGTAGCCAGAATCTGGAAACAACCTGAGTGCCCAAGAACAGACAGCTGGGTAAAGAAACTATGATACATCTACAGAATGGAATATTACACAGCCATTAGGAAAGAAGAAGTCATGACAATCACTTATAAATGGAGGGACATGGAGAATATCATGCTGAGTGAGATGAGTCAGAAGTAGAGGGTCAGACATAGAATGACTGCACTCATTTATGGGATATAAAAAAAATAGTATGCGACTAATATCCAAGGCCAGGGTCCAGGAGAACTGGTCCATGGTTAGAAACTTCCCACAAGTGTGTGTGGGGGGCAAAGGGCATTTAGGACAGAGAGGGGACCAGTATGATGATAGTTGAAAATGATCGCTCTGGACAAGAACTGAGAGCTGAGGGTAGGTTAAGGAACATAGATGATAATCTTTTAGTTCCTGTATTGCAAACCATTAATGCCGAGAGAGAGAGAGAGAGACAGAGAGAGAGAGAGAGAGAGAAATCCTTTTCATAGAGGCAGAGAAGGGTTATCCAGAGGGAAATTAGGGACATTGGTGGTGGGAAATGTGCACTGGTGAAGGGACAGTTGTTGGAACATTGTATCACCGAAACCCAACCACGAACAACTTTGTAACCGTTTCACTGTGATTCAATTAGAAAAATAAATGTTGACTAAAGGGAAATACATGAAACTTAAGCCCAGAACTTCTGCTCTTGCAGGTCTTGGAAGAACCTTCAGCCCCACTGAGCCCGGCCCATCAGGACCAGGGAGGAGTCTCTCAGGCCCAGGTCCCTCACCTGCATCTGGAGGGATTCAGCAGGCTGAGCTGTGGGAGGGCACTGGGTGCAGCCCATGACCAACAGTAGGGGCTCTCCTCCTCCCCCATCTCCTGGGGGTTCCCGCGGCGGGGTGACCTGCACTCTGGCATCACTCCGAGGGGACCAGAGGCACCTGGGAAGGTCTTCAGCACCCAGGGACTGACAACCCTTCTCTCCCGCGACCTCTCAAGACACAGGGGCTGTGTCCCCTCTTTCCTGGGCCAGCCACCAAGCCTGCGGAGGGGCGTCCTGTGCCCTGCTTCCGCGCTCTGCTCGGCTGTGGCCTCCGCACGGTTTGGGGGACGCATGTCAGGCGACTCCCAAGCCAGCCCTCGAGTCACGGTTGTGCGGGTTGCGCACGGCGCAACCCTAGAAGGCGCGTTCACAGGTCACGGGATGTCCTCGACGTGGCCGGGGGCCGTTTCTTTCCCACTATAAACGTGAGACCCGGGCAGGCTGGGGAGCCCCTCACTGCGGGGCTCAGTTGCCCTGAGCACCCCAACTCTGGGCGCACCGACCTGGAGGCCTCGGCGCGCATCTTGGTCCTGCAGCCTGGAGCGACACTCGGCGGACCCCCTGGAAGGCCAGACGGGTCCGGGATCCCCGGGCTCCGGGCAGCGGCTGGACAGCGCTCGGGGAGGCAGCCGGGCCCGCCTCTGGGGGTGGTGCTGGGAGTGGTCACGTGGCGGGGAGCCCCTGTCCCCACCCCCACGCGCCCCGCCCGCCCCCGCGCTCGGGGCCCTCCGCCCGGCAGCAGAGCGAGCAGCCGCGGGCGCAGCGGGGTCGGGGGCGCCGCGTTGCTGCAGCCGGGGCGGCCCCCGCCAGCCGAGCCGCCGCTGTTGCCGCCGAGCAGCCCGGAGCGCGGGCGACAGCGACAGCACCATGGACCTGTCCTTTATGGCCGCGCAGGTAAGGGCAGCCCCCCGCGCGCGCCCCCCGGCCGCCGAGTTTGGGGGCGGTTCGAGGCCCCGATGCGGTCCTTCCTGCCCGCTGGGATGGGCGCGGGGCGGTGGTCCCCGCCGGGGGACACCCCCCCGCCCCGGGTCCGGCCCTTTGTTCCAGCCCAGCTCCCACCTGGTGCGCGTTTCCGAGGCGGCGGGCGCGGCTGCTGGCCCGGGGGGGTGGGGCGGGCGGCGCCCAAAGGTCCACCTGGTCCTAGCGCGTCCCCAGTCGGAGCGGTGCCAGCCGCCTCCTCCCCGCCTGCCCCCACCCGCCTGCCCTTCTCCCTCGGGGGTCCCGGATCTCTCCAAAAGCTGGCGGAGCCCGGTCGGTCGGTGCCTACCCGGGTCGTTGCCTCGCTCCTCCTCATTTGGCATCTTCCCGGGGCGCCGAGTAATCTGTCCCTTACGGGTGACCCGAGGTAGCCCCGACTTCACTTTCACTCCCCTTGAGCGGAGACCCCCAGCCCCACCCCAGCCCCAGCCCCGGGAGAAGGCGCTGAGGACGGCTTTGTGCCAGCCAGCCGCGGGCGGGAGCAGCCTGGGCTCGTCTCCTCGGTGTCTGGGCACCATAACTCACCCCGCGACACCGACCGGGACGGCCAATGACCTGCCGTTGTCTGGCCCCTGAAGGGGGTGGCGGGAGGCATGGGGCGTCCCGATCCCGCACTGATCCTCAGGTTTCCCGGCACTGGCCCCTGTGAGACAGACAAAGGCGGTTCCACGAGGCCGCCAGCGTCTGTGTCCACCGCACATCCCGTCTGCTGGCCGGTCTAGGACAGGGAATCCAGCGCACCCACCCGGACTGGGGCGGCTGTTAGGAGCTGGTGGAGTCCCCACGGGCTCTGTTCCTTTGCAGGGACACTCCCCCGCTCCCCAAACTTCACCCGAAGTAACAAGCAAACCGAGAGGAGTCTGGGATAGTCCTCAAATGCAGGCTTGAAAGGAAGCAGGACCCCTCCTACCCCCTAAGCCCGGCAGGGAAGCTAGAGTCCCGCTCCTGAGCGCCTCTTCACCAAGTTTTCCAAAGTACTGATGGCCCCCAGGGCCTTTGCTGCCCCTCCGTATTTATGGATCCTGATCGGTCACTTCCCGAGATTAGTGAGTTGACATATGCCAAACACAGGAGCTGCCCCAGCTTCCTAGCTGGAGCTGGAACCGCACACACAGCCATCATGCCTGCCTCTGCCTTTCCCCCCCTGCATCCCAGGGAACCCCTGGCATCTCCATGGTTACAAGATAAATTGATCCCTGCTATCCCTGGGGTTGCCTGCAGCATCGCAAGTTGCCATGGTAACATGACAAACTAGACATAGGACTTCTCAGCACCCATCCATGGAGCCAGCCCAGACACTGGATTTTTTTTTTCTGCTTCTGTTTTTTTGTTTACTATAGTGTCATGTCGCCAGCTTCTTCTCCCCATCCTGAGCAGATGTTTGGGCACTGATGGCGCCTTGGAGCTGCCGCAGGAACAGAAATAAGAAGTGCTAGCAAAGGGGGGGGGTGATCCTGAGGTGTCCGAGTGCCCATGAGGGGTCAGATCAGTCATTGGCATGTGTACCCTTTTCTTAGCGTGAATGTTGCAAGTCTACCAGGCACTGGTTCCCATGACGGAGATCAGGGCACACCGGTTTGCAAAGGGGGTCTCCAGTCTGAGTCAGCATCTCTTACCTGCAGGGGCACCCCCTTTCTGCTGCTCCCTGGGGAGAGAGCCCTGTGTGAGGATGGGGCAGAGATGCTTAGGGATGACTCATCTCTCTTGACCCCTCCCCCGGGCTCCATCCTTCCCATGTGCGTCCTGCTCTGATGGGTCATTTGCTGTCATGCCTGTCCCCAGAGGGCTGGGGACCCTTAGAGACCCACCACAGTGGTGCTCCCCGCACCCGACACACCCAGATCCCAGCTTAAGTCATCAGGGAGCTAAATGGTGCCCATGTTCGAGTTAGCACAGGTGGAGGTGCTGGGACCCCATGAAGGTGTGTGCGCAAGTTTTCCTCGTGGGTACTTCTGGAGCACTGGAGAAGCGAGGAACTGGGTTGTTCCCAGCCAGGAAGGGGCCAAGAAGGGGTCAGGCACGCAAAGGTCCGGGGGCAGGGAAGGTCCTCTGCGTGTTTCTGGTGGTGGTAGATGGGTCAGGTGGGGACTGTAGCAGGAAGAAACCAGCCTCTGGGCTGTGCGCTGCCCTCCCCACCCCCACCCCTCCTTTTGCTGCTCCTCAGGGTCTGGTGGGTGGACACGCTTCTCCCGCAGTGGACAGCGGCAGTGGACACCAGGGTCAGGGCCCGTGCAGAGGCAGACGGAAGGAAGCCCAGAACAGTCACGCGGCTGAGGAGCTGCAGGGTGGGGGCCCTGGAGAGAGAGAGGCCACGGCCAGCCTGTACACAGTGCGGAGACTATGGGCTCTGAGACTTGTGGGATTCTAGAAGGATCCACAGGAGTCAGGTGGTCTGCAAGCCTGGTGGACTGAAGACTGGAATGGTGGGCGGGACATAAGGGGTGCGTAGCACCTCGGTGGGAGGAGTTGCGCGTGCGCACCTGCCTGCTTCACGGATGGTGTGAAATCGTTTCCATCAAGGGGGGGGGGGTGGGAATGGGCTGGAGGTATAGTACAGTGGGTAGGGCGTTTGCCTTGCACGCGGCCAACCCAGGTTCGATTCCCAGCATCCCATATGGTCCCCTGAGCACCGCCAGAGGTAATTCCAGAGTGCATGAGCCAGGAGGAACCCCTGTGCATTGCTGGGTGTGACCCAAAAAGAAAAAAAAAAAGATCAAGAAGAAGGAGCAGAAGAACCAGATCCTGTGACCCTCCGCAACCCGCAACCCCCCCAACGCAAGCCTCTCCCTGTTGTGAAACCGCATCCTGTCCTAGGTGTTAGGTTCCTGGAAGCCTGTTCCAGCGAGGGAGTTCCCTTCCCTGAACGTTGGGTGTGCCCGTTAGCGTCGGAGCTGTTGGGTCACCCTGCGTTTGTACGTGCCAGGTGGGGTCCCCGAGAGCTGGCCCTGCAGACAGGGTGCATGCTCTCCCCTGGCTCTGTGCCATCGTCAAAGGATGGTCAGGAGCAGCCCTGGAGCTGGGAGCCCCGAGTGGCCCCCAGCACCAGGTGGCACCCAAGAGCTAGAACAGCAATAGTGCGACCAGAAAAAATAAAGCATCACCAACAATGCAACCACAAAAAAAAAAGCCCAGCAACAGGGATTTCTCCTCTGCTCCATCCGGAGGCAGAAGTTCCAATTCATGTCAGCAGGGACATGGCAGCCCTGGCCTCTCCGGCCAGCGCTTGATGCACCCAAGTCAAACTGGCTCAGCTCTGCACCCTCAGACTCGCTGTCTCCAATGCAGGATGGTCACAGATGGGGGCTGGGACCCAGCGGCTTTGGGGGAAAACACTCAAGATCTGAATCCCTTGAAGAGGAAAGTGCTGGACTGGTGTGAGTGGCCGCCTTCTTCCAGAGAAGCCCCCCCAACCTGTCCTGTCACCTGTGAGACGGGGACAGAATCTCGTCTTACTGGGCTCCTCTGCACCTCTCAGGAAAGGAACCCCTGGACCAGGTTTCCCTGTGGAGTCCCAGGGGGAGGTGGACAGGGGTGGGTCTCGCCATGTGATTGGTGGTGAGGTGGAAGGCGGGAGGGCTCCTGGGAGTTGGGATTGAGCAGGTTTGCGGCGTGCAGAGCTGCAGTGTAGACAGGTGCCAGGAGGTCCCAGGTGGAGGGAATGCAGGGATGGGGACCTGGGGAGGGGAGGTGGCTGTGGATGGCTCTGCTCTTCTGGGGCGACTGAGCTGCAGGCCGCCATTTCTTTGTCAAGGGGCAGGTGGCAAGGGGTGATCCTAAGGCCAGGGACAGGGGCGAGGGTGTATGACCTCATGGGGTGAAGCTGCGCCAGCTGGGGCCTTGGGTGACCCGGGAAGGAGGCACCTGGTTTGAACGAGGCCCTGAGCGGCAGCTGCTGAAAGGGACACCTGGGACACAAGCTTCTGGCTTTTGAAGAAAACGGGATGTTTGCACGCAGGCTGGGATTTGAATTCACTCATTTGAGGTGTGTGTGTGTGTGTGTGTGTGTGTGTGTGTGGTGGAGCTTGAGCCCTGGTCTCCTGCAGGGATAACACACGCACACGTTGCCATCCAACTCCCTGGCCTGCCCCTATCGGATTTTAATAGCTGGCCTTGAAAACAAAAATGTTTAGGAAATCAACCAACCATGGTGGGTTTCGTTCTCAGTTACTATTTCAGTTACTTTTGGCGGATGATTTGAGTTAGTCAGGACTCCCAGCCCTTACCAGGCTTCCTGGTTTTATGGGAATAGGATTTGGGAAGGGCTTGGCCAGGGAGTGAGTTTCTGCTCCAGAAGCCCGTGTTGGGATTCCAGGGACTGGAGGCGCCTGTTGATGGTGGGATTGTGCCCGGGGGAGGCCAGACTGGCCACATCTGCACCAGTTCCTGCCCAGTGTGGATGCTCAGGTCCTGTCAGCCTCACTGAGCAGCCGCTGGGCTTCCTGGGAGACCCACTTCCCCCCTGCACAGCTGAGGTTGGCTCCTGGCTTCCAGATTTATTTTATTTTATTTTATGGCTTTTTGGGTTACGCCTGGTGATGCTTAGGGGTTACTCCTGGCTCTGCACTCAGGAATAACTCCTGGCGGTGCTCAAGGGACCATATGGGATGCTGGGAATCGAACCCGGGTCAGCTGCATGCAAGGCAAACACGCTGTGCTATGACTCCAGCCCTGGCCTCCAGATTTTTGAGGGTCTGTGGTCCTCAGACTGACATGATCTTAGACTCATCATGGGCAAAGGAGAGGTCAATCCCCATCTACACTTGGGGGCCTTGGTCCTTGTCTTTTTTTCCCAGGAAAGAGCTTTGGGAGAAGACAGTGATGCCAGATCATTTTGTTAAGGAGGGAACCAAGTTCTCAGAAGAGAGAGAAGAGGTCCCGGAAGTAAAGGGAGATTTCACAGCTGTGGAGAGGCACAC